ATGGGTGGGTTATTAACCGGTTAAGGCGACGAAAATCGATAATTCCGGCCACCGGATGCGTAACGTTTTTTTCGACGGAGGAAGGAGACCGCAACGGGCGCGCCTCCGTCGAAATTTTGCCGGTTTAGTCCCCGTTTCCGATTTCGTAAATAGGGGTCGAGGGTAAAAATAGCTTTAACAAACTCCCGAGGATACGCGGCCGGTGGAGATTTACGCGCGAAATCCCCTTTACGCGATAAAGGACGAGGGAACGACGTGGACGGCCACGTTTGGCTTCCGTCGGGCCACGCCGGACGAGGAAGCGACGATTAACTCACTTTTTAACCGGAATATTAATTCCGTACATCTATTCGACCGCTTATTCCGCGCGTAAGGTTTTTCCACCCGCACCTTCTCCCGGTTTCCCGGGCTACCGCGTAAATGGCGTTAATTTAAAGATAAAAGCGGGCGAATAACGACCTTGGTAATTTCCGCAGAAACGAAAATTAGTTTCTCCGCGGTCTTATTTATTTTTCTTTTTAAATTATCGAGAAACCTCCGACAAAATCGATACCGACCAACTCCGGAAATTCGTTTTTGCCGGGTCGAGCCGGAAACGGGAGCGGTTTCTTCCGGCGGCGCCCTTATTCGTCCGCGCCAGCCGTAGGTTAATTTAATAATTCGAGACCTTTACGGGAGGAGACGCCAACGTTTTTTGCCCGGGCCGCGGATAGGCGGCTCTTATCGAATCATTTTTTCGACTTTATCAGAAAATGTACGCGGCCGGTCGGTCGTTTACCCGAAAGGAAAAAAAATTCTTCTCTCCAGATTGGCTTCTATCTGCCGTATACATGCATAGTAAGTAATTCGGCGCTAGAGAGGCGTCGAATCTCATTTATTAAGTTTTTTCCGTTTGCGAAACTCGAATATTTTATCCGTCCGCCATCAAATATTAACCACCTCGCCCACCTCTAAAGGTACAGACGGTGCGCGCGCATTCTAGCCTAATGCGCCATGCAAATTAGGTTGGTTACCGCGCGCTCGATACGCCAAGTAGTGTTTGTAACGTTTCTAAATTGGCCGAAGAAAACATCCGCGTAGGCCGTAACATAAGGCATTCGATGGAAAATCGATGGCCGCGGGATATGGAATTTTTCGCCGCCGAAATAACGCGTAAACAATGTAATGGAATGGAACTCGGACTTAAAAGCTTTAAAGAGAATTTAAATCCCCGAGAATATTCGGCCGGGAAGCCGGCGGAAGGACAAACATCCGCCGGTTTTCCAGCTTGGAAATCGTTAAACCGGGAACGTCTGGTGAAGACGGGGAAGTTTCCGAGTGGCGTGTTTCCGAAAGGACGGGAAGAAAGAAATCACCGGAATAAGTTCCGGGCAAACGGGGAAATGGAGTAGACAAATATTGACCGCTTTTAGAAAACCCGCGGCAAACTTACAAAGTCGGAAACGACGATACTCTTCCGCTCCCTCCGTCCGAATACGTTAAAGTAAATTAGGTATTTTCCCTTTAAACCCACCGTTTGGCGGAATATTCTCTCCTCTCGGCCAATAAATGCTCTTTGACCCGGGATAAACTCGGCCTACCCGGTCTCCTCCCCCCGTAAATAGCGAATAAACGAAAGACAAAAAGCGGTATTCGAAAAGAAATCTTTTTTCAGAAACAAGTAATTTGGTAGTTTCGGGGGGGAGTATTTTAATCTCCGCGGGTCGACGGTGGTTCCTTAAACATTTGTCCGAAAAAATCGCTTTTTCTATTCTTTGTTTCCCGGTCGAGCCGACTTTAGCCATAAAACGGCGGCTTTTTGCGGCAGTTTTTTTCCTTCTCTCCCTCCTTTGTTCGAGTTTCCGCCTCGGATGGGCGAAAATCACCCGGAGATAATTAAAGGTATTTTAAGAAGTTAATAGACTTTCCTAGCTAATAAAGAAGCGATTAATTCCGCCGCGCACTTTTTCGAAAGAAAAGTCTTTCTTTCGCCGTTCTTCCAACGTTTCTCGTTATAAGAAACTTTCCATTATTCTCGTAAATTTGCCTTATTTTGCCGTATTCGTTTTCCCATAAAAACCCAAATGTTTTTTCGTTTTCTTTTCTATTTTTACTCGAATATTTCCTTTACTATCGGACGAGAATTTGTTTCCGGACGTATTCGTTTGATGCGAGAAAAGAAAATTGCATCGACTTCCTTTTTTTCCCCGTTATTACCCGACCGCAAATCCCCATTTTATTCCGCTTTATTTTATTTCTAACCTCCGAGTGGAAATACGGCGCCTTCCGAACGTTTCGAACCTGCCCGATTCCCATTCTACTTTAACATTAATTGGCGATTATCCGAGTCGACGGCCTCCGCGTGCTTACGCGTACTTACGCGGTCCCGCGCATTTATTCCACGGTCGGGCCCAGGGTCCCGGAATCGCCGCCGGACGAGAATGCGTAGCGAAAGGAAAAAAATTATTTGTAGACCGCGAACGACGAAATCGACTTTTCGTCCGTTATCCGTTGGGCGGAAGATTCGATTGTAAGAAAATTCGTCGTTTGGCCTAGACGAATTCTTCTCTTATGCCACGCGCGGAAGTTAGACCTATTTCGGACGACTTGGCCGGGGGTGGGGTAGCGGAAAAACTGCGGAATTCCGACCGGAAAGGAAATATTTTAACAAATGCTAAAAATAATTCCTTTTTCTCCAGGAACGACGCGTATACCCCCGGGGACTATCGGCGAAGAAAGAGGTGGAATAACCGAGCCCGGGTTTTTTTTTTTTTTTTAAAGCCTGGCACCGATAAAATTAGGTGTTACGAATTGGTAGATTTCCCCCAATAAATTACGCTCCGTCGCGACATTTAGCCAAAGTTTGGCCACCGAAAATGTACGTTTGGAAACAAAGAACGTCTTGGAAATAAGTGGAAACTTTTCGCCAAAGACATTCCGTTGTTTTTTTCATTTTACGCGCCTTGTCGTACCGAACTCGACCGTACAAATAGGCGAGACGACGCGGGCTAAGATTGGCCGGAAAGCGCCGGTGTTTCGGGTAGCGTATGTGCGCGGACGGCCGAATTCTTCCTCCGGAGATTTCGAAAAAACCGTCACTTACGGACGAAATTAATAACCTCCAACGAAAATGACATTCTCGCCGGCGTCGAAATAAAAATTTTACCCGGGATATCTCTTTCCGAATAGAAGTAAGAAAAATACCGCGTAAAATTGACAAATTTGTTGCCACGTCGTCGGGATGCCGGCCTTCAATTTTTAATCGTAATTCCATTTAAACCCAACCCTCCGTACCTGTTCTCAAATTTATTAGTGTCTCGCCCCCGTACGTCATACTTTCCCGCTAGCGATAAAGTCGTGCCGGTCGGTCGTCTATCTAACTCCTTTCGGGGGGAAATTTTTGAATGGAAATAACGCCGCTTCCCGCCCAAACCGGAAGTTGGTATATAGTTAATCGAGACTTCCGGTCCCTAAGTTTTCCGTATTCGGCCTGGATTTTCATCTACTTAACGCGACGACCATCCGTCCGTAGACCGGGAAGAATCTTATCTTCTAGCCGTTTTATTTCTCCCTTAGGAATTGTTAAGCCGGACACGATAGGTACTGCCATGTAGAATTATTTCTTTGGTTTCCGCGCCATCTCCGCAGCCGATTTCCGGGTTGCGTTTAATAACGGACCGAGTTAAATGCCACCGTTTCCAAACGGTGGCGCGTATCTGTCCGAACGCGACACGGACCGGCGCACGGTCCGCGGCCGAATCCCGGGGAAGAATATTTCTCGGTGTTAAAAAACGGACGTGGCCGTACGAAGCCCAAACACGCAACCGTCCCGCGACGGACAATAGGTACGGAGAAATTAATTTTTGAGGGTTTTACGCGCTACGAAGGACGTGACCGTTATCGACGAGATAATTCGGACAAAAGAAATACTTTCGTCGAATATTTTTTTTTTCGACACTCGGAAAAGGCCAATGGCCGTAGTGTCGTTTAGTTTAAATAAAATAGGAATAATTTGTAGCGTATTTGTTGCATTGTACAGTACGGTACAGTTACGGTTTCTTACGGTAGAAAAGTCTATTAATCGACGCATCGTAAGAATGGGGATTTTTCCGGTACGCGACGGTCGGGCGCGGATTAACGCCCGGAAGGACGAAAGGGGTTCTCCGCTCCGTGCCATCCGCCTCCCACCCTCTTCTTCGCGCCTCGGCCTTGTTTCCTCGGACCGGAGAGATGGGAGGAAACCGGAAGTGCCGAGAAGTTTCGGACCGCCGGTAAAAACTGCGGCGGAGGGGAAGGCGAGAAAAAATTTTCCCGCCTCCCGACTCGGATCCGTCTCCGCCCGCGTCGAACGCCGCCGGTTCCGGCGGTGGGGTGGGCCCGGGCCGTTTATCGATAGGAAAGGAAAGGGCCGGCCGACTCGTCGGGAAGTTCGGAGGTAAAAAAGAAACCGGAACTATTCCCTACGTCCTTTCCACCCTTTTCTCCCACGGTTTCCGACGCGCAGTAATGCCGCGTCCGTTTCCGTCGTCCATCGGAATTCGCATCCCACCGGAATCCTCGGTCCCTTCCTTCTACATCTCGTTCCCGTCTCCCTCTTCCGGCCACCCGCGCATTTTACTCCCGACGGAAGAATCCGGAAGTACCGAGCCGCGACCGTTCGCACCGCCTTTCCCCTTCGAAAACAAAAATAAATTTGTGTTTCCGTCTAATTCCGTTTTTTTATCCGTCGGAGTCGGACCGCTTCCCGGCGTTTGTCCGGAGATTAAGAAGCGACTTTACCCATTTAAAGCGCGTCTAGGAGAGAACTATAACGGGAAATTCATCCCGGGAAAAATCACGGGCGACTTTTTTTTTCCGGAAAATTGTCCGCATGGCCGGGAGGAGGAAAACCCACCCCGGACCGAAGCGAGGCCCGCGGAGAGGGAGTATCCGGAGGGAGAGAACGGCGCCGGCGCCGTGGTCGGCAGGTGGCGCTGTTTCGTAGGTAGATACGGCGTCCACCCGGCCGAGGCGCAGTTTTCTCCCGCCGCGCGTTCCGGTGGCGTCCAAGATCGCCAGCGCCGCTTCCGGTTATGCGGCAGAGGTTCCCGCCCCGAGCGTCGACCGGTCGCCGCCTGCCACGGGCGCCATGAAGAGGACCGCACGAGCCGCCGCCTTCTACCTGCTGCTGGTCGTCGGGCCGCTCTCCGCCCAGTCGACGCCCGCCGCCCGGCCGGGGGTGAGTCGCCTTTTCTCTCCTCTTTTCCCGCCGCCGGGGCCCCCTCCCGGACCCTTTCGCTTCCGCCGGCGTCCGTCCTCCAGCCCCTAAATACCCCGGGCCCGGTCGGCACCGCTCTCCGCCGCCGCCCTTTCGTTTGTCGGATTATCGATCGGCGCGGGGCGCTTCCCTTCGGAAACTCGGCGCGGGTCTCCGCCGGCCGCGACGGAAGGGAAGCGCGGAGCGCCAACGGAACGGTCCGGAAGAGGGGACCGGCGCGCCGGAGGGTAAAACGCGGGTGGAAACGACGGAATAGGAAAGGAAACACGCGGAGATTTTTGCCCATTTAAGAATGGCGAAAAATTAAAAGAAAGAATCGGTAGATGGACGGCGTTTGCCGGGCGTATTTCGGACGAAAAACGTAACCGAAAAGCGGCGGCGCGGATCCGTTTCCGGTTTCACGTCGGAAGTTCCGGCCAGATTCCGGTCCGTTTTAAGTTAGGGGTTGGTGGGTGGGAGGGCGCGCGCAAAGTTTTTCTGCGCGCGTTGTCTCCCACCCGGGCCCGCGCCCGGCGCCGTGGAAGGCGTTTCGAACGTAAGAAGAAGCGTAAGCGGACGGTTGTCGGAAAATTCCGTCCGAGGTCGAACGAGTACTCGGCGTCGATCCACGGATTCCGGGAATCGTCGGTTGGCACGCGCCAGACAGATTCGATCGGACGCGCTCTCCCGTTAATTGTGTACCGAGACGCGCGCTTTGACCTTCGGTTGTTGCGGCTTCTTCGGGGACCGAGCCGAGAAAAGGGGCGAACGCCGACTCTCGTCTTCTCCCTCCGCCCGCGAAATTTAAAGAAATTCCGGGTGGTTAGCGCGTTCTTCGTCTATCTCGGGCAGGGCCCAATTTTTCCCTCTTTTTCCCTGGAAGGAGACGAAATGGCCCTCGATTTAACGGATTCCGCTATTAATTTTGGCCGCGGCTCCTTTTCTCCCACCGTCGGGAGTCCTTCTCGTTAATCGTAATTGCGAGAATCCGTATTGACCCCGCGGATCACCCGTTCCCTTTTCCGGTCCGCGGCCGGCAAACTTTATCCGCATCCACCTAATAACGGGGTAAACGGGATCGGGTCGGGTCTATTTCCGGAGTAGGACCTCCTTTCCTCCTCCAAACGGCGTCAACTTCCCGTTTTACCAGAAACGAATCCATTCTTTTCCGCGCGGAAAATTTTCCAACTGGCCGGGGGAAGCGCGCCTTACTTTTTCCCGACCGGAGGCAAAAATTGCCGCCCCTAAATAGAAGCCCGCCACACGGTTGCGCGGGCGAGAATTTCGGCGGGTTAAAACTCTTCCGGTTAGTCACTTACCGACGTGGAACGAGGAAGGGTTTTCTCCTCCCTTCCGAAAGACAAACGGGCGGAAGAGGCAATTATCGATAACGTATTATTCAAGAGCGGGCATTTCCGGCCGCCGTAATTAATAAAAGGCGCGTAAAATACGCGGCGGAGGAGGGAGGCGGCCTCTCTCGGCCTCTTTACACCGCGGTTAATTACTTTTTAATTAATTCGACGAATATTATCGATCGGTTTCCCGCGTCTATCTCCTTCCTCTCCTTCCCTCCCTCCCCCCTTTTCCTTTTCGTCTATTTTTCGTTACGGTTCCCCACCGAAAATATTTAAAAATTTCGGCCACACCCACCCGCCGCATTATTTCTATTATAATTACGTGGCGGTAAAGGGGAGGACGATTGGCCGGATGGGTGTCGAGTGTAGTTTCCATCTAAATAAATAAATACCGGAAATCTTTGCTAAAGAGGAAGCCGTGCCCAGATCCGAACTGCCCCCTTCCCGCAGTAAAAAGTTTAGCGGAAGTACGGGTTCCGGAAGTGGTCCGGGAAAACCGCGGGCGGGATTTTCCAGGGCCCGAGCCTTAATGTAAGCCAGGAGAGCCACCTCCTTTCGGCTAAGCCCGTTGGCCCGGCGCTTAGGAGAAAGGAGGGGCCGGGGCGCTCTTTTCGCTCCCATCCGGGCCCGGAAGGGTAACGGGTCTCCTCCCCGTTACAATTATCGGTTCGTCTCCTCTCTGCGGCCGGGTTTTCTTCTCCCTCGGGTCGCCCGTGTCGTGGCCGAGCATCTCCGTCTCCCATAATAGCTAGAAATCCGAAGGAAAGCGAATTCCGACGATTATATCGCTAGCGATATTTCTCTTCCGTTTTACCTTCGCCCGCCTCCGTCCGGACGAGCTTAAAAACGTTGGGCCGCCGTTGCCGTTTCTTTCTTTTCTTTTATTTGCGGTGGTCGAGATAAAAATCCGAATATTCGAATAAACTGCGTTGTAATTCGCGACGAAATCGATTTTTGTAGCTAATACGGCCAACTCCCGAAGAAAAAATTGCCATTAGCGCTCGTACAAAATTCTAATTTTGTCGTTCGGTGGTAATTTTTGCAATTTAATTTGTGACGGCCGATCGACGTCGTCCCTCCACCTCTACCGGCCCCCGCCAAAGTCGAAGGACGGGCCACGCCTTTCCTTTTTCGATTTATCGTTCGGAGGGGAATTATAAAGATGTGTCTAGTTGGCATCCCTACCGCATTTCTTCCAAAACTCTCGTCCGTCCACTTTTCCGACCAAAGTCGCCACCCGCGCCAACCCGTCTCGGGCAATTTTACGTAACTGCATCGACCATGCAGTTACGGTAGTCCGGTGGAAGAGGGGACGGAATGTTCGGAATGGTTCTTTGTTTAAAACTCTTTCTTCCGTGCGGGCACCGAGACTGACTCTTTTAGCCGGCCCGTTGCGGATTGGCTCGTTGTCGCGCTTCTATTGTTAATTAATTTCGTTATACAGTAATTCGCCCGAACGAAAACGGTAATCGACGAGGAGGATGTCCTCCGTATCCAAATTTCCAGTTATTCTTAGTTTGACACTACCCGCCAACGGTTTACTATAAGCGTGACAACGCCCGCGGACCGGAGACTTTTCCATAGGTTAAGGTGACGACGTAATCGCCCGTCCCTTTATTCTCCGCGCTAAATGCTGGCCGTATCCATGTTATCCGTCGAGGCGCCGGTTGGGCGATTTTAGCGAAAAAGACTATCCGGCTATTTATTAATTTACAATTATTGATTATTATAAACGCGTCTACGCCCAGCGGAATAGAAATTCCCTTTCGTAACCCATTTTCGTTTTATTTTTTAAATTCGGTTTTTACTTTTACCCACTCCGTTACGCGTAACGGAGGGAAAGTACGGCCATCGGCCAAAAAAATCGTCCCCGACACTTTTACATTTTTGGACTCGGGGATCTCGAAACGTCGAGAAATGCGAAAAGATGGGGGGGTATTTCCGTATATATGGATGTTTGCGTGTGTGGGGGGAGTTACAATTTTGTTCTCTGTTCGAAGCTTAGGGGATAGGTGGGGTATAGGGGAGGTGGGGAGGTAGAGGGACGTCGCGTGTCGTATCTCGAGTAGGGTCGGGTTAATGACGATTTTTCTCNACAATTTTTTGTTTATAACGTAGTTTATACGGATTATTTTCAAAAAAATATACGTATTTTGGAAATGTCGAGTCGAATTAGTCTAGAATCGATTAATTTTATGAAAGAAAACCTTTCAAACAGCCGTAGTCCGTAAACTATGATTCCTACAAAATTGATTCATAAAGAACGGAACGTGTCTACAGTCTTATAGGGGGATCTACTGTAAATCGGCAATTAGTAATAAAATGTCTGCTGTACAGCCTGTAGACGCTATTATCATTCTGGCAAACTGGGCTAGTGTAAACCGTAAGCAAGAATTAGCATCGTGGAGCAGTCTGTGATAAAGAAAAAGTTAAAAATTAATTCTACAAAACTAAAGGCTTTAAAAATTTCCGTAAGGAAGGAAGACGGTTCTAGAAAATAAAAATTAGAATGCGGTGGAGCTACGCATACAGCGAATGCGTGGACAGCTTTAAAAGTTTAAGCACGAGGTTCTTATTTAATAATACTTTACACTTCGGAGTAGCTAGTATAAGAACGCTGGCCACCAGTGGACTAGTATGAGAAATTGTAGGCGATGTTTCTAGGTACAATACGACGTCTCATACTCGTAAACCTTTCTTATACGAGTTATTCAAACATAAGCGTCGCTTGTAAGCTTATTTTGAAGATTCGAAAGCCAATTTTAATGTATTGGATCGATGGGGTAAGGCCAGGCAACACGCGGGCGATCTGCCAAGAGAAAAGTGTCCGTATTAAGGTATTACAAATGTGAATAAAACCCGTTGGCAGGGACGAACCCGCGACGGACTACCGACGTTGGATGATTTATCCACTCGATCACCGGTGGGCCGAATTTTAATGGCGTCTACAAAACTAATATATCGATGAAATTTTGAACTCTTTCCATCCGTCATAAAGATATTTAACTCTATATTCATATCTGCGATATATTGCGCCACACCAGTGTGGGCAGCTAATAATAGATGTGATGAGAAAGTGCTTTACCATTGATCTTTCACAGCGAAACAGAAAATGTATCTTTAAGACTACTTTTTTTTAATGGTATTAAAAACTATCGAAAAAAATTGTGGAAGATAAGCGAATTGGTTAGATTGTTTTGAAAGGGAATTTGCCAATTGTCGGGTAAAGTAGCGCGAGCGCAGTGATAAATACAGGAAATTGGGGTTCGATTTTTTAACAGTAATTGAATAACTGTAATATCTGGCGTTATAATAATCCTATTACGTAAATTGCAGCGTACGATAAGAGATAAAAATGCAGTTTATGAGTCGAAGCGATGGCCTCTAAATCCGTACCTCTTTTCGATGCGATTAAGCAATCATTTATTCCGGAATACCATTTGTATAATGAAGGAAATAAAGCATAAAAGCGTATAATTCGATAAAATAATGATATCTCGAGAAGTTGTAATGGTTTGTCTTTTTTATTCGGTTGTAACTACGTTTACGCAACTGTAATTACACGTGTTATAGATTGTTTTTTTACTTCAAGGACGGAGGAATTCGGTGAATTTATTTAAATGATCTAGCTGATGTCTACTTTCTCTCTCATCCCCATCCCAATTAGTTTTGAAATGTCGCGATTCTATGTAATAATGGTAACAAAAGCTTTATCCGGGTCCTTTACAACTACAAGAGTTCAAAATTTATTTATTTATTTTTACTGGAGGGAAAATAGGTATATGTATATATTCTCTCTCTTATGTTCTTATATATATTCTCTCTATTATATAGGCCTATAGCCTATATATAATAGTAATTAGCTTAAAACGTCACGATACTATTTTCTGGGAAAAAGTAGGAAGGGCGGCACCGGGAATCGATGAATCGTCACGAAATTTTGAACAAGTAAGAGAACAGAGTAGTGAACGAAATCTCCTAGAATATAAATTTGTTACGCGCTAAAGCTAACGGCTACTCGATTAATTTATACAATGTAACCAGCAATTATTTACTGCGACGTAGTCACAGTGCCGGGCTACAATTTTTAATCATCTTTAATTTAGAAAATCCCGTGACTTCCGGGCTAGCGCGGAAGTTCGTATACAGATTATCGGGTTCCTAAGCTTTCCATACTGGTCTCGATTTTCAGCCGGGTTCTCGAGATAAACAAAAGATAGACGGACGATAGTGGGAATGTATGTAGGAATAGTGATTGAAATAGAGAAGTAGAAATGACAATAATCCAGCGTTCGTAACCGTCTCGATAGAATAATAACGTTCTCGCCTTCGCAACGTCTTTTTGTCCTTTGTTCCTTTCGCGCCGTCACCAACTGTCGTCTTTCTCACTTCTCCCCTTACTTGTCCTTCTCTCCCGTTCTCCTCGTCTCCCCCGCAACCCCTCGTAAAATTTATTGTCTTAACGGTTTAGGAATGTTACTCGTCTAAACCCCACACGTATAGGTCGACAATTGCCACCCAATTAATAAGTTTATTTCGATGCAATACAGCGTTCCCTCGCTATCCGAAAGTAGGGTGTTGTCGCGAAACCTGCCATAAGCTTACACGGCTTAAACGAAGAATCAATTACTATTAATTTATATGGGCACATTTTTCATCGTTGAAAGACTTAAAATTAACTTAGTAATTGGGCTGCAATTTGAAAAAAATTGTAGACCTATAAATTTCCAACATCGTCCGTTCGTCTATCTTTCCTTAATCTCGAGAACGGAATTAAACGGATGAAATCCGAGACCAGATATGAAGAGCTTAGGGCGGGAAGCCCCAGCTAACCATATACGAAGTCACGTTATTTCAATTCAAAAACTTTCTTTACAGCGGAGTTAAATCGATGACCGGCACGACTACAGCGTCACCGGGAAAATTATGACGTACTGTACGGCTCGAGACACTACTAAAATCGAGAGCGTATATTTTAAATTAAATAAATTAAAAATATGATTAGAAATTGCAGCCCGGTATTGTGACAACGTTACAACGATTTTGTCGATTTTTTACACTAAATAAGACATAAAACTTAAAATAATATTGACGTATACGAAAGCTCGAATAATACCATAAATACGAAGTAAAAATGCAAGAACGGCGTAGTTAACGATACCACACCAGAAGTAGAGTACTTTCTTCGATAAATAATCTTTAAACTACGAAACTCCCCTCTTCTCAAAAACCAATGAAAAATGCACGGGACTACCTTTAAATTCCACTCCGACAATTCTCCCATCACCATCGTCCTTTTTTCCGTTTCGGCTTATCGAAAAGACCACCCGATTTCACTGGGAGTAAAGATGAAATCCACTAACTAAAGACCGATCCTCTCCGGCGGTAGATTTTCTATTTTCTCACGTTATTTCTGCTAACGGATACAAAATAAATCGACATAGTATGGCGCGAATGCCGACGGACACGGTTCGAAACTAGGGCGACTCGATGCCAAGTGTAGTTGCCGGGAAAGGAGGTGGGAGAGCCTCTGGCCGTTGGCTGCTCGGAGTGCAAAATATCTCTAAAACGGTTGGCTGCCAAACAAACTCTAAGGTTTATTTTTGCCGTTTGCTTCTCTTTCGTAGGAGCGAAAATCCTCTCGGCATTTCTTTCCATTAACGAAAACAGATACTAATTCCGGTCGAAACGTTTTTCACCAGTGAGAAGCGGGTTTTATATTTCTACGTTCTTCTGCCCGTATAAAACGTTTCTTTTAATGCTTCGTTGCCGTATCTTCTCCGTGGTTTCTTATACGCAAAAAAGAATTTATATTAAATGTTCTGGACCGTCGTGTTATTTAACTTTGTCGCCCGTATTGCGCAAATCTGCACCTTATAGGGAAACCGAGGGACGCTTTCGGCTTCTATTCGTAATACCGACGGTTGACTTTGTGATTATTACAGTATTAGGGTAAACTTGCCTAATTCGTACCACTTAAGGAAAAACCATCATATTATCGAAATTAATAAACACAAATTATTTTTTATTTTAAGTAACTTTTATTTGGGAAATATTTTATCACTACCATAATCAAATTTAACATAAATCTTATAAACTTCTGAGAAATAAACAATTTAAAAAAAACACTAAAAAAGTACGATTTAGGAACATTCGTCTTAAATCGTACTGATATATTCTTAAATCGTACTTTGAGATCCTATCGTTTGTTTGCAGTCTTAAGAATAAAAATCTTAATCAATAATATATTAATACGTGTGTATATTAACTCTTAACAAATTCGGCGGATGGTCTTCGCCAATTTTTGGCTGTCATCGCAGTTGTAATCCGTTGTTTTTTTATTGGTTCCTGCGCAAAGTTCATGTACCCATATCTCACATTGTGTGCATTTGATCATACTTTCTTTTACGTCTTCTTGGCATAATTTACAGTACCAACTGTTATTTTCATCTTGTTTTTTTTTTATTCTCCTTTTGTGATATTTTAGTAGTTTTACATTTGTTTGCACCAAGATTCTTTGATACGTTTTTCTTCTTGAATTCTTCTATTTTATTCTCGAGCTCTTTTTTATAAGGATTTTCTGTAAGAACAAGAGCACCTGTACTTTTTTTTTATTTTTTGTTTTGAATTTCCAGGAATAGCATGTATTGGAGATATCATTTCAAGTGTCGCTCGAACTGTCTCTGTATTAGAAATGTTTGCTTTGATACCTAAAGAACATTCCTTCGCTTTCTCTTCTAGACATTGATCTTACTGTTTTTCCGAAGGGTGAGTTGTTGGTACCACAGGAAGTTGTGGGTACTCAACTTCTTCAGTCTGTTCTCAGTAGTCTGATTGGATTGTGCCACACACGTTAAAGTATCTGTTTGTTCTCGCTGCCTTTCAGTTACCAGATTCTGGGAGACTTCCGCCGATTCACTTAGATTAGCATCTTCGTCAAGAACAACATATTCCTCATCTCCGATCTTAAATTGATTGCCAGGCCACAATTCGCAAGATTCGGATCCACGCATGCCTGTGTCCATACAAACGGCTGGAGGATACGCTTTATTAAGGAACTAGGATGATTTGCATCCACGATGCGCAAGCGGCACTAAAATCAGTTTTAGTGATTTGAAAAATGACCTATCTAGTCTATTCTTTGATGCGTATTCAGTCCTTGTAACTGTGGTCTAAATGTCAATTTCGGTACATTATATACACTACAAACTTCGTTCAATTATAAGGTCCCGTCATTATATTTTTTAATCGCTTCTTTCATATTTTCTTTACTCCAAGAATTATATTTTCTTTTTGACACGTTGTTCTAAAATTAAATACGATTAAGTTTTAATTTGTTTTGAACTTTTGCGGTTATTTTTCAAATCAGAAACTTAGAAAAAAAATAAGTTTACGAATCGGTAATAGCTTATTGTGACATCCATCTAAAATGGTTTTCCTAAATCGTACCGGTACGTTTTAAGAACACGCCTCGAGTACGAAATAGGGGCGAGAGTCGAACAAACTTTACATTAGTCGCCAAAAAATTTGACAACAGATACGCGTGTTTCATCACTTCGGATGAAATCACAAAAATACGCACTAATACATCACAGACAGTTAAAAAAAAACTTACACACGATCCAATTTGAAGAAATTTCTTACGAAATGTGCAAAAATATTACAGAAAAAGTTGAAAAAAAACTTTCCTTTTCAATATTTTTGTCGGGAGCAGAGTAACAGCGTGTTGTCTGTCAGATGGTAATATGACCGATTGTTATTTACTTTTTTGCTACTAGAGACACTAATAACTATTACCAGAGTCGAGATATAAGCCAAGTACGAATTAGACGCAAGTACGAATTAGGCAAGTTTCCCCTATTATGTTTTGTCTGAGCTACGGACCGGGGCTTTTTTGTCGCCGGCCATCCCGTATTTTTAACCGTGGAAAATTTTGGATTATCTTTATTACAAAGACGGTAGGTTTAAACCGACCGTTTACCGAGGTACGGACGGAAGGATAAACCGAATAAATGTTTAATATAAAGTTTTCTCTTTAGTCTATCGGATGTTGTAACAGAGAAAACAAGATAAAGAAGAAGAAACAAAGAAGATGTAGCCTATTTGTTAAGTTGAAAAGTAAAGAAATGTTTTGAAATTTAACGCGGTAGAAACTGTCGGCATCGCTAATTCGCAGTTCCTCTTTTCCACCGGAACTTTTATTACGAATAAAACATTAATTCCGAACCGTCGACCACTTCGTCCGGGTATCGAAGTCGATTAGAATTCCAGTGTTACTTCGTCGTCTTATTTACGTATTAAAATAATATTTTAAAAAAATGAATCGAGTCGACTCTTCCTTCGTAAATTTTACTGACAGTAAACTTCGGACGCCGCGGTGGTTTACGTCTACCGTTAACGAAAAATTCAAATTACCGGACCATGGCTAATTATTTATTTGTTTTTCAGTCGGAGGTAGAGAGGTGTTCCCCCTGTCGGTGTCCCGAAGAACCTCCCTCTTGTCCCAGGGGCGTGGCCGTGGTGACGGACGGATGCGGATGTTGTCCCATCTGCGGAAGACAACAGGGCGAAGCCTGCGACCGCGTCCAGCTGTGCGACTCCGGCCGACGGCTACGATGTCACTACCGACGTCCCCGAGATCCCACCGGCATCTGCCAAGGTGAGTCTCTCCCTTTCTCAATTTCTCTTCCTCGGACTCCGTTAACTTCCGCTTTAAAAGCCGTTCGTATCCGACTGGCGTCGCCTAAGTGTTCCCGCCCGCTTTTGTCGTCTTCGATAGAAAAAACTGCTGGAATCGTCGACATCTCGGTCGAACGAACTATTCGATAGATTATCGATAACGGGGCTGACTTACGGTTAAACGAAGCGTAATTCGAGAAACAATAACCGGAAGTGCCGACGTAAAATATACGCCCAACGAATCTTTCGCCGGCCAGTCGAGTCTAGAAACAAATTCGAGTCGGGGGTATTAAGTACTTCGTAAGTCGATTACGCCCGCACGATGGCACAGATTTTTCGCAGGAGTTAAGTCGATTAGACGATAACAACCGATACTACCCAAATGGTTCCGTTCCCCGAACACCGGGAGTTCGGCGATGGGTTGGCGCCTGGCCCGGAGGGGTTGGCCACGTAGAGTTTTCCGAGTCTTCTCCGCGTCTGTAACGCCCGAATAGGAGCCAGTTATCCTTAAAATAGCTACGAAGACATTATTTTCCCGATGTCACGTAAGGCCGGATCATCGGATACTCGCGCTCTATTGGAGTAATATAGCCGGAATGGCTGGCATTTCGTATAAACAACGGGGAATAGCTAGATAACTGCCAAGACAGTGGCGGAACTATAATGGCCCAAAGCGGTTCGATTCAACCGCGGGGTTAGCTAAAGCGTCCGGCAAAAGACCTACCATCCACCACAGAAACGACGGTTTTCGTCCGGTAAGTCTTCCCTTCGGTTGGTGGCCGAAGATTTTTTGGGGGATGCAGTCCCGTCCTTTGCCGCGGAGGGGAATGGACCGGCGTTAGAATTTCGAAGGGCGAACCGAAGGAAAGTGGCTCGACTTCCGTCCCGCCACGATGCGTCTTTTGGACAATACAGATATAGGCTACCTATTTATCCGAATGCCCGCCGAAGTTCCGATTCGTTACGAAACGGAACTTGGTCGAATAAATAGATGATCGAAGTCCGGCACGGGCGTCTCATTGGTTGCCGCCACTGCGACGTTCTTCCAACATCGTTAGTCTATTGGTTGCCGGATGGCGGCAAAAACGGACTCGGTGGCTACGTCAAATAGTACGCGCCCGGATGTATCCGACCGGGGCGAATGTCGCGTTTTAGCGGCGAGAGGTTTTCTCGAAAGAGATGCGGAAAATAAAACGATTTCTCCTTTATTTTTTACAATTTTAACGGGCAATTTGCCGATTAGTTTGTTTTTGCTTTAGATTTTCCCAACCGGCGAATTAAATTCTTCGATGGCAAATATTTATTGTGATCGCGCCGGCCGAAAGTTTTAGTCATATTTCTAATTTATTTCATTTAAAATACGGACATTCGATTTTAGTAGTTTTGCCCCCGCACAGTACTGTACGCCGTACTTTTCCCGTTAACGACCAAGTCGTGCCGTCCGTTTACGGAACAAAGTGATTTTCGTCGAAAACCAGAAATTTGTATATAGTTCGTATATAACTTAATCGGGGCCTCTGGCTCCTAAGCTCGAATCGAATCGAAATAACTCGACTTCCGGTGCAAACCGAAAGTCACGTAATTTCCATTCAAAAATTTTTCCTCGAATGGAGTAAGAATAATACACGGATGGACGGCACGACTCTATCGCTAACGGGAAAAGTACAGTAGGATGTACGGGGAAAAACGCTACTAAAAAATCGAGAAGGTTGAGACTAAAAATTGCGGCCCGACATCGCCACCGCGTCGCAATAATAACTGATAAATAACTGATGGTCACTTAACGAAACGTCGCCCTCCGAGTCGAACTTTTGGTATTAGAAAGGATTTGTCTCGGGCTCAAAGGTTCTTCGCCCCGTCGTTTCCTACCCATCCTTAATTTTCTTCGAAAGAAGATCGACGGAGGAGCTTCCGAGCCCGGTCCAATTATCCTTTCGATTAGCTCCTGCCAGCGCTAATAGCCAGGCGGATAGAGTGGCATTAAGAGAGGAGAGATTCTTTTAAGGATTAGCGGAAAGCCAGACGAAAATCTCTCCCGTGGCTTTGGTCCAATCCTCGGACAACTTTCCAAATAAAACCCGTACTCGCGTCGGCCGTCCGACGGCGGGGATTTGGCTATAAAAATGGCCAAGAATCGGGCAAAAGCGGCGAATAATCGCGCGAAATGTGAAGGAAGAGGCCGAAGGAGCGCTGAATATTTAATCGAGGAAAGAAGAAACTCCGTCGTAAATTCGAATTAACGGCCACCGCTTTGTAATAAAAATCTCTTGCCGCGCCGTGCTTCGGACGAAAACCTTTCGGTGCGGTTAACACGGGAAGAACAAAAGCTACTTTTTCTGAATATTTGATATTAGTTGCCAGTTCTTTTCTGATTTCTACAAATGCTTCGTTCTCTTTTCGGACGGAAACTTTGACTCGTCCGAAATTTTCCCCTTCTCGAAAGTCGAACCGAAAGAATTTCCTCCTCTCCATTCCTTTATCAGCTCCGTCTTTCGCCGACGTCGTCTTCCGTATATTTAGGGTTACTGTTTTATTACGCCAACGAAGGGTGACTCGGTCGACTTATCCGCTGGAAACAAACGAGTTACATTGGGAAATTTTTTACCTAAATTACGCGCGGTGCGAAGGTGGCAAATAAATAACGTTGGCGCGATTTTTGGCAAGAGTTTTAATCGGAAATTTCGGCGGTTGGTGCGGGTGGGACCGAGAAGGGGACGGCCGATAAAAAATAAGACAACTTTTATATTCCCGGAGGAACGGAAAGCGTTTCCCCGTTTTCCAGGATGGAAAACCCGGGAATAGGGCGACGGTGGAAGACGGTAACGGTTTAACCTAATAACGGAGCAATAAAAGGCGGAGAGGAGGACCGGAAAAAAGAATCGGCCCGAATTAGGCCATTACGATAAATACAATTACCGGTTATTTAGAGCGGGTTAATTATTTTATCCGCCACGGAAGTGGGACTAATTGCCCAAGCATTTGCGGGAAAAACCTGGCTTTTCTCATTACGTTAACCGACCAAACGAAGAAAATGCTCTTACCGCGGACAACGCCGGTGGGGTTTTGACCTGGCTCGAAAGTTCCCAGTCGTTTTCCAATTTCTTCTTCCGGGCGTCCTGGCCGAAGTTCCGCTGGGGTTTGCGACAATTTCCTTTCGATATTTTTAATTTCGGATATTTGAATGTAAATCGGTGGTAATTAGATATCGATTCGACGTCGGGAAGGGAATAGGGGAGGACCGGGCCAGAAGACGGCGTAAGTTTAAAGGAATAAATGGAGCGAGAAACACGGAGGACTTAAACTGGCGCCGTCACCGGATCTTTTCGAACTTACCTTCGTTCTATTAATTATTCCTTAATCGTATTACAATTAACGAAAAATTAACGTTACTTACCGTCCAAAGTCCGAGAATAACGTTACTTATTTCTCGTATTATATTACTAGACGATAAATAAGCGACCTTACGTTAACGTCGGACGTCGCCCGCCTCGGGCTTTACTCGGCCTTTACTTTACTATAATACGCGGGTAAAGCGGACGGTGACCCGGCCAAAGTTCCCTACGCCGGGTAATTTTCTTCTTCGGCCGCAATTTTTAAAAAATTGTAAACCTATAAATTCCCGCCGTCGTCCGTCCGCCCGTCTTTCCTTAATCTCGAGAACGGAGTTAGATAGACGAAAGAGAAGACGAGACGAGAAAATCTTAGAGTCGGTAGACCCGATTAACTATATAAGAACTTCCGACGTCGCATCATTTCGTTTCAAAAATTTTCCTCCTTAAAAGTGTTAGATAGACCACCGGCGCAACTGTATTTCTAAAGGAAAAGTACTACGTACGGGGCAAACCGCTACTAACTTCGGGTGGAGAGCTTCTATTTTAAATTAAATAAATGAAAGACACGATTAAAAATCGCAGCCCGGCGCTGCAATTTTAATATAAATAATAGCCGGCCGCTGGCTGGTGTCCGCTTTTCGTATTTCGAATCGACGATTATTTATTTCGGCGTCGATGCGCCGCGCTCTCCATTTTACTAGCGTCTCGTCCCCGTATTGCGCGCCGTACAGTACTTTTCCCTTAACCAGCGAACGTCGTCTATCTAACTCCTTTCGGGAGAAAATTTTCGAATCGAAACGACGCGACTTCCGGTCTAAACTGAAAGTTAGTATATAGTGAATCGGAGTCTCGGCTCCCGAGTTTTCCGTACCCGGTCTCGTCCGTTTCCAGATTAAGAAAGGTCAGACAGGTTGACGGACGGATGGACGCTGGTGAAAATTTGTAGCTCCGCGGTTTCGAAATCGCGTCCCAAAGAAGAGGCGGTAAATACGCGGACGACGACGACGTTGGCCTTTCCTCGGTTAAAATAGAAATTTCGTATTTCTCCGGAAGATCGGGCATTTTCCTTCCAATGCAAATAATGTATTATTTACCTTCGGATATTGGAATGCGGGTCGCTCTTCAAATATTTACCGGAAAAATACTTTTAAGCCAATTAGTCGCCGGACGAAGAAAATAACCATCGGCCCGCGTTGGGCGGAAGTAGACTCCCGTCGGACGCGGGTGCCCTCTTTTTCCGGTAGCCTCGTTCCTTCCGCCTCCGGCAGAAATGGCGGCAACGGGATGGCCGAATTGCCACAAAAAGTGTACCGAAGAGTTCCAAATATCTCTGGCCCGACAACCCAAACAAACTGGTCGTTTACGGTCCATCTTCGGCAAATTTTCGTTGCCTTTACTTTTCCCCGTGGCCGGACGAATATCGATGGCGGCCCCTCTCTTAATCCTTTTTGCGATAATTTCCACGTTGACGACGGTTTAGATTTTCGTATGAGCCTATCGATCGATAGGTTTATACGAAAAATACGAAAATTTGCCCAAGATGGACCGTAAACGGCGAGTTTGATTCGATTATCGGGCCGCAATTTTCCTATTTCGGTCCGTACCATCCAGCCGTCGCCCGTCCGTCCTCGGTTAATCCGGCATCGCACTTACGGGAAAACACCATCGAAAACGTAAACCGAAGGCGGAAACCAGAAGAATGTTTCGTCCGTCGCCGGTAAAATTTCTGGAAAATCAACCGGAGAGACGAGGGGTGGAAAATTTTTTCCGGTCACGTAAAACGTAGGCGTCGATCAATCGGATCCTCGGGAGTGACGACGCGTTTACAACGTCACCCGGGTGGCCGCCGCGCCGCCCGAGGCCGAAAACGAGAAACCGCGCGAGCTGCCCGGCTGCCATTTTGACACCTCCGCCGCCGGTAACGCCCACCGACCCTCTAGACGGAGAAGAAGTTTGCTATTTTTTTTTTATTCCGTTTTTCTTTTCTTTCGCGATTTTACGGGCGAAACGCGAAATTCGCGCCGAACGGAAATTTGCCGTTACGGCGTGATTCCGGCTTTAGACGGAATATGGAAGGTTTAGGGGCTCCGACTAACCGTACAGTACGTCAACTTCCCGGTTTAAATTCAAAGACGATTAAAAGTTGCACCCCGGCAACTCGATCGCTGCACAATAATAGGCCTATTAAGTAACTTTTTACGCCGCCAAAGGAAATAAAATTAAAACGAAAGTACGGTATTCGGGCGATGGGTTTACTCGGATATTTTTTCGTTTTTAAGAGACTTCTCGCTAAATATATACGAGATCTTCTCAAATGCCCGCGCCTGGCTACCGACGTCGAAAGAAAAGATTTAAAATAAGTGCCGGTCGATTAATTATCGCTACTCGTCGGGTCCGGGCTTTAACGCGTATTTTCCCATCCGACAACGTTGGACGGTCGAGGGTTTTTCGCCCGCCCGTAATTTTCTTTTGGTAATAATTTAATGGACCGCCGTCGAAACCCGGCCGCGCCTAACGCGGCGCTATCGATTTCGTCCGTTTCCCCCCCACCCACCCAGAACTTAATTTGTAAAATCGTCCGGCGTCCGTCCGTCACGCTTTACCCGGCCGGAGTTTATCGGCGCGAAAATTCTCTCGACGTTTCGCGGGAAAAGGGCGTAAAACGAAAAATATAAAACCATTCTCTGGCGGTTTTGGGTTTATAAACGTATTGAATATTACGATCACGTAAAAGGATAATAAGGAAATGCCGGGGATTATTTTGGCGCTATTCGGTCCGATCTCGTTGTTAAATCGAGTAGAGTCGGCGCTGGCCGGGAAGTCTGCGGGAATTTCCGCGAATTATGGAGTGGAAAGGAGGAATGTTAAAAGGCTTTTTTTCCGTCGACAGTGGAACAAGGTCGAAGCTGTTTGGTGGCGGGACGAGTCTATCCAGACGGAGAGACGTTCAAGTTGGACTGCAGAACCCAGTGCACCTGCCAGAACGGAACGTACGGCTGCGTGTCGCTGTGCCCTCACGAGAACATCCGTCCATCCGGAAACTGCCGGAATCCTCAGCTCGTGCCTCTACGTAGTGCCTGCTGTCGCGAGTGGCTCTGCGAAACGTCCGTTTGGGAACGTAAGTCCATTTTTAATGGTCGCCGATGTAAAAGTAGGGTCGACGGCGGAAGTTTATGGGGAGAGAAAACGCCCGGCGACGTTTGCCAATTAAATGCGACGAAGATAAGGATTTTGCCGTTGGTTCTTCTAAAAGTCGTAACCGGATAATTTGTTTATAGAAGGAGAATTAAATTCGTAAATCGGTTTATCTACTTTAAAATTTAAAGCGGAAAGACGATTCTTTTTTCTCTTCTTGGTCCCGGGGTATTCCCGCCGTTTTAAAAGTCAATAGCCTCTTCTATGAATCTTTCATTCTTTATTCGAAAGTCGCCGATCTTACTTTTATAAAATGGAAATAAATTTATTGGTAAAACAAATTTATTCCTAAGTCGCGTCTAATACACACCGAGCGTCTATCTATATACACGCGTACACCGATTGTCTTACCAAGGCCGCCGCTATTTTATTTATTTATTTATTTATTCCGTTTGATTTTTCCCAGCTCTTTTTTTTTTCGAAAACGCCACTCGTTAGCTTTCCCTTCTCCTTTCTTCCAGCCAATAAATATTAACTGAAATTCTTAATAAATCGAATAATTTACCGGAGTAAGTCCGTCTTCCGTTACCCCCGCCTTTCTTTTCTCGACAGAATTAAGGCCACGAATCTTTTATATATTATCGATTTATTCGCAAAAATTAGAAATCGCCTCCTAGCTTTAGTTCCCCTACGGCCTTTTTCCCCCTTCTCGTTACCGTCACGCGCAACCTAGGCAATTAAAATAGGCTTTTACCTTCACAGAATATATAAACATTTTTTTTCTTTTCGGATATCTAAGGCCCGCGAAAAATTGCTCCGGTCCGTTACTTAGCCAAAACGCGGCGTAATACAATAATAAGCGCGGAAGCCGTGGTAGGGGATGCGGCGTATACGCTCGGTCCGGCGCGTGGAATCGTACTTAGGAACCCCGGAGTAACGTAAGGAGGTGGACAGTTTACGGTATTAAAGGCGAAATAAGGTAATTTCGGGTTCACAGAGTCGCTCGATGCAGAAATTTCGAGAAAAATACGAGACGACGACAAATATTATTAGCCCGTGTATAGCTATTTAGACGGAATCGAGTGTATCGAATATTAATTACATTACCGCGTTTACATTAAATGCGTAAAAACGGTTTAGCTACAGCCGCGGCTCGTCCTCTAATTGTCGAGAGTGGAACTTCCGGTGGCGGTCGACGATGGGTTTGTTCCGTTTCTTCGCTAAATCTGAAAAAGGTTTACGCTTCTAAACAAACGCCGGCTTGGTTTTTATTTCCGAAAGATAAATGTATTTCGCTTACGCTGGGTGGGCACCCCCTCTCCGCTCCTCCGAACCGTTTTATTTTCGTTAGGATCGGTCTAGACGTTAGGGACGGAAAATCCAACGTTTTCCCTTCTCCGCCACGCGGATCGTTGTAAATTATCGGCGCGCACCGAAGGCGGGTGGACCATCGTCTGATTTTGACCTCTCGTCCACAGATAAAGAACCGGACTGCGAGAGATATTCTTCGGAGTGGTCGCCGTGTTCGGTCAGTTGCGGGGCGGGATGGTCCTCCAGAGTGACCAATCACAACGCCGAATGCCGGATGAGAAAGGAAAGTAGAGTCTGCCAAATAAGACCCTGCCAGAAGACGACGGGGCCACCGGCCGTAGGACACCACACGAGGGTGAGGTTGGGTACTCTTTTCTTTTTCGTTCCTTTTCCTCTAAGCCTCCCGCAAATTCCCTTCCTTTTCCGTAATTATTAATATTTAAAGAGACGACCGGTATTTTTACCCAGGTAGAAAACGCGACGGAGGAACACCCGCTGTCGTTTGGGAAGAAACGCGATTAGGGACATAAGAGGATTTCCGGCACTCGATACATTAATCCTTCGGAGGGCGACGGACGGGAGGCGTCCGGCCACGTATCCGCAAACACCGGCGCTTTTCCAAAAGTTTTCGTTTACGTAAATGGGGAAAAACGCCCCATTTACTCGGAATGCGATTTGTTTTTGATATTTTGTTTTTTTTCGGCGCGCGCTAAGCGGCCCCGTTTTAATCGTACCGGTGGCGAGAAACCGGGTTCGACGCGTCAGTAAATACCCGTACCGCGTAACGTCCGTAGTAAGAAACTTACGTAAACGGGACGGTCGGTTTCGTTAGTCCGAGACGTTTGGTCGATGGTCGACGTGGATTCCGGACGACCGCCGGATCCACGTCGTCCATCCTCGTAATCGGAAGATAATAGGACGAGTGGGCCGACGCCAACTCCTCCGGAACGTCTATTCCACCTGGGATTGCGGTCGGCGATATAAAAATTCCGACGTTACTTGCCGATTAAGAGACGTTTTCCGAAAGTAGAATACGACGGCCCCGCCCATTGCACCGTTTAAGTCGGAATCCGATGATTCCATGGCGCGGAATTGGCCAAAGTTTAAAAATTCCGTTGGCGGATAACGCTTAACGCTAAAGGCCACGTAACCTAATACTCTGTAATACCTTTATACACCGGGAACGCCGCCGCGTAAAGCCAAGTTTTGGTTCTGTTTAAGTTGGCTCTTTCGGTTCCGAAACGATTTCGAGTACTTTCGGACCACCATACGTCGGTGACCACGGACGTATTTAAGCAAACCGCGTGAAATTTCGAGTGCGACCGGAGACAAAATACGAGACGAGTAGAAGTTTCCGTCGACCCGTAAGAGTAAAGTTATTTTCTTTTACCACCGGCGCGTTCGGTAAGAAGCGAGTTTACTTTTTAGGCATATTTTCTTCTCGGCGCAGCCGTTTTCCCATCTCGAGCGAACCGCGCTAACGGCCTCATCTTAACCCGCGTCGCCGTCCATTGTGCCGGAATTACGGCCGTCTACCGACGTTTGGCCGGTCGAACCACCCGCCAGAATTTACTATCGAATCCGAATTGGAACTCGAGTCCCCGGAGCGATAGATTAACCAAAAGCCGAGCCGCAGAAATTTTTGGGTACGTGCCTACCGGGAGGACGGTCCCGGCCTAGCTGTCGGGCGGGTTAAGAAAACTCCAAAACCCCACTCGGCCGGCTCCTTAACCCAGATGGCGTTCGATAGTATTGTTCCGCTTCCGGCCTTTGTCCGATATGGCCACCCATCGCGTCCCTGGCTATAGCCCACGCTACCGCCGTTCGTAGGTACCGAAGGATGGTTCGGACGAATGACGCGGCGTAGCTAAGGGGTGTAGCCCGTTCTACGGGCAAACCGGCAATTCGCGACCGTAGTAATTAACCGGGCTGGCTAGGGTGAAGGTGGGTGGGAACGGGACGGGACCCGAGCAGTTTTTCGTTCTTGGGAAAGTTGCGGCTATCTTTGGTCCACGTCGTATTGGTTGGCAGTCTATATAGTCTCTACACCAACGGTTCCCAACCTTTTTCGGGTGGCGACCCCCTTTTTATAAAAGCCGAGTGACCCGCGACCCCGATACAATTGAAAAAGGTATTTTTAATAAGGTAATTAAAAAACAATGAAATTAGTTTTTTAGTATAATTTTATTTTAAATTATGTTTAATAATTAATTTAATGAGATGGTTGAAATTGCATGTATTATTAACCAGCCTCAAAATTCGCGGGTGAGATTTTGTTAACGCCAACCTCATGTCATTCTCAACATTTAATTTATTCCTCTCAAAACTCTCAACACATGATTCAACCAACTGTGACAGAATAGCGTACCCAGATTACACTTGATTTAATTTTTTAAAAATATATGAAATTATTCAAACTTTTAAGACACCATTAAAAATAAATATTGCATTATAGTGAAAATTTTGCTTTAGTTTACCGCATAAGTTGGCGACCCCACAGAAAACCCGTCGCGACCCCCTTCTGGGTCGTGACCCGTAGGTTGGGAACCCGTGCTCTACACGGTAGGCCGTGCGCGGTTGGTAAAATCCAACACGGAAAGTTTTTGGGCAGAAATTTGAAAAAATTATACTCGTATAAATTCCCACCGTCGTCCGTCTGTCTTTCCTTAATCTACAGTACGGAGGTAGATAAATGAAAGACGAGACTAAGCGTGGAAACCTTAGAGACGAGAGGCCCGATTAATTACGTAGCAACATCCGTTTTTCGAGAAGATTCAAAATGTTTCCCCCGAAAAGCGTTACGTAGACGACCGGTGCGACTCTTGTTAGAGGAAAAGTATGATGTACGGAGGCGAGACGCTACTAATTTCGGGTGGAGAGTTTATATTTTAAACGAAATAAATTAAAAATCGCAGCCCGGCAATAAATAATTGCCGATTTGGTTTGAAAATCATTTAGATGGTCGATTTGTTTTTGTAAATAAATTTTATTTTATTTAGTAAATGAATTAAAAATAGTATAATTTACAGATTTCGATGGCTTATTAATCGGTAAGTCCGTAAACGATACGACCTCGACCCGGAAAATCGTTAATACGAATTTTCCATAAAGCCAATTAACTAGGCCATCGTTCCTCCCGCCAGTCGATTGTATTTACGCGCCTTTAAACATCCGCCGGATACATTACCGTTACATTCGCGTACACGGTATTTAAACGCCAATTCTTTGTCCTTTTATTCGCTAAATAAGGGCGAGGAAATTTTAGTCGACCGCCGAAAAACTGATTTTCGTGAGATTCGGGCCAACGTAGCTACCGACCTTATTGCCCTTAACCACATTCGAAAAACAAGGTTTACGTAAGAAATTCGCGAGTTCCACAAATAATTTTACAGTAATAACTCGGTTTTCGTCGACTTCGGTTATGGTGGAAAAATTTGTCTCGGATTTCGAAGGCGCGCTCGCGCCACCTCGCCGCTAATTTTGCGAAAACAAAGGGCGACCACGCGTTTTCCAGCTTAGCGCGACGCCGTTTCTCGGTGCGCGCGCATTACCCCGGGCGCCTAGCCAAACAATTCCATCGCTTTCCTTTCCTTTTAGTCCTAGTACGGGACCAAAGAAAGTTTCCAAAGCCGGCAGCCCTTCGAATGCCACGTTAAATGCTCATTTATTCTTTACGTTAGACCTTTATATTCGTTTCTTATTGTTTTTATATTTATTTTCTATAAAATGTGTTTTTCGTATGTATTTGGGAGTGTCTACGACGAATTAATTGGATTTACATCGATTCGTACGGAAATAATTGCCCGGGTTTTCGTCGGTTTCGGATTATCGACGAAAACCCAGGTATGGCCGTACTTATTTTTATGTCGGAAACTTTCTGGATGCGCTGGAAATCTTATTTCGAAAGAACATGGGTACGGCTATAAATACGCATTATAAATGTTATTAAAAAATAAAATCTCCGAGTTTGTTTCTTTTCCGCAGCGCGCGCTACGCTTTTGGCGTAGGAAATAAACGATTTATACCTCGGAACCGTTCCGAAGACATTAACTTTACGTCGTAGTTTCCTATTTAGTAATAACTTACGACGGTAAGAGTAGAAATGCTCCCCGCGCGGCTGCCAGTCGGAATTGGTCCAAACCGTCCGAGTAAAACTCGTTGCCAATTATTACCCGTCCAGGCCGAGATAGAAAAATGCTTCGTTTTTCGCCGCTCTAAAGGGTCCGGGAACGAATTCCCAGGATTTTTCGGAGTGGTCCGTCCCGGACGCGTCGGATCCGGTCCCCGCCACCCCACCGCTCCGTCGAGAGTCCGGCCCGACCGGTAGCGGCCGGATAAAATGTCTGTTTTGGTGCCGGCGGGGAGAAAAGAATCAAAAATAAAAAAGAGGAAAAGATTCGATTGGCAAATTTGTCGAAAATAGTCTTCGCCCCGTCTTTAAGCCGAATTTAATTTTTTGCCTCATTTTGCCGCGAGCTAGAGGCTACGCGCCAGAACTTACATTTGGCTTTCGGCGGTCCGACGACGGAATAACCGTATTTACGGCCAGCGGCCGAGATTTTTCGAAGCTCGGACGAAACGGAAACGGGAAGGACGTTACTGGCCGCCGATACGCCACGCGTTAAGTAGAAATTGGCGACACTTCGGACAGTCCCCGCCTTGGCCAAAGCGCTTCCTCTTTTGTTCGCTCGACCGAGACGAAAATTTTTAATTTCCCGGTTACCGGCGAGAAACTCGCGCCGTTTTCTAGCGTATTTTAAGAAACGAAGGCGGTAGGAATTCCGTCGGTCAATACTTCCTTTTTACGTTTGGACAATTGGCGAAAGGATGAGAAAAAAATCGCGAAAGAAACGGTAAACAAACCCCCGATGGTTTTTGTTAATCCGAGATAATCCAATGATTTCTTTATTTATTTGTAATCCTAAATGCCTTCTACCCTTCACCCCCGTGGACGACATTTTGTCCGAGTATGGCGCGGAGAGAGAAAAATAAATCTGTCTGCCGGTGGCAATGGCGGCTTTTATCCACTAAGCGCGAAATGGAAGACGAAAAAGAGTCGGCGTTCTCTTTGCCAAAATCCTAGGTCCGAATATAAGGACGGCGCCATCACTTACATTTTGAAAGTCTTTCGGACCCCGACGCCCGGCCGATGTGGCGTAGATTCGAATTTATCGCCGTATATATGTTTGCGGCCACATTTTACCTCCGTTTTTCCGCGAAAATACCACCGGCGACGCATTTCTGCAAAAAATTGTCTCGCTTCTACGCCGGACCGTCGACTACTGTCTGGCAGATTGGCGCGTGACTTTATCGGTGGCGTTTCGTTATAGCCAATACGTATTTTACCGACGAATTTTACTCGGTTAACGTAGTTTTTCTTCTATTCTTCGGTTTACGAAAACAAAGGACAGAGAAAATGACCAGCGTGGCAGATAAATTATCACCGGTCTCCGGAACCGTGGCCGGGCGGTTTCCATTCGGTTCCTCTCTTTCGGACGCTTCGTCGTAACTTTTCCGTGGCGGTGAAAATCCGTCGGTGGAATTTCGTGCCCGGCGCCGCTCGGGATGGATAATTTTCGCCCGCTAACGCCGCCGTTAATAACCGGATAAACGGCCCATCCGTTTTCGCCACCGCCCGATAAAGACTCGGAAAATTTTACCAAACCGCAACGGCCGGACCGGTTCTGTCCGCCGTTATTGACCGGGATTTTAACCCTTTCTTTTTCCGCCACTCGGGTTGAGACCGGCCTTTGGATTCCCGCCGCTTTGGCCTAAATGGATTTATTCTTAAAATAAAAGAAACAGAAACCGGAAATGGCGAAAGAAGACCGGCTTTCATTTTCCCGCGGTGATTTTATCACGCCCGGACTTTATTTTCCACGTAGTTCCCCTTCCCGAGTGGAAACATTAGCGGCAATTTTACGGCCGCCGGTAAGGATAAAAATCAAATACGAAAGAAAGCGGCCGACGCGATTTTAAAATACGTGGACGGAGACAGAAAAGGTTAGGAAGATGGCCGGGTGGCCGGGTGGGTGGACCAAGGCCACCACACTAATAATAGACGTGAAAGAAAACGTTACGCGATAATATTTAATAAGTAACCCAGCCAATTAATAACGGTAATAAACGGAAAACCTTACTCTTTTAATTATTTTAAGATTAACGATTAATATCCTATTAAAAAAGTAATTATATTGAAGCCGCGGGGACGGTGGCACCCTGGAATTTTTATTCTAACACCGGCTTGGTTATTTCTTTCGGTTCTACCAGAAGCCCCGGCGAAAAATGCGGGCGGAGAAATACGCGTAGATAAAGGCGACGGCGTACGCGCAGTTTCGAATACCAAAGATATAATTGTGGATAAACATTGGTCTCCCGTTTAGGCCACCGTTAAAATATTTCGCATTCCTACGCGGCAATTTACGCCGTCATTTTATAATTAATTAATAATTCGTGGCCGCGCGAAAGTGGACCGTCTACGACGGGGGCTTTAACGCTCTCCGGGGTAAACGTTTGCCGAGAAAAATTCGGGAAATAAAAGCCAATAGGTTTTATCCACGAACTTTATTCGGAAAGAAAAAATAATAATATTGTAAACGAAATAAATACCGCCGAATAAATAGTTATCGAATGTCTGCATCCTCTCGAATTCCCCATTAGTTCCGGGATGCCACGATTCTACGGCTCTTTTACTATTTGTACCGGGATTCGAAAGTTTTCTTTTAGTTACGTACAGTACAATACATAGACGGAGAAGGAAAATAGGCTGATTTTTTAAATGACGTTAAAATCTAAATATTTTAAATTCGTTTAATTTACAATACGTAAAGCTTTTTATGGCGGTAGTAAGTAGTTTTAAAGACGGAAAAATATTATTTTAAATTAAATTACGCTCTTATATATGGATGTGTTTAAGAATTATTCCAATACCTAATACAGTATTATTTAATTCGCTATTCAAAAATTAAGGCCGTTAGAACTATCGTATTTATATACTTTAACCCAGGGCTTCTTAAACTATGGGTCGCGAGATTTTAATGCAAAATATTGAAAATAATTTGCGAGAGTCTGAAAATGGCACGCTTCGTGTCGTAGGTTTCGTCAGTCGCGCTTTGTGTCACTTCTGGTGCAGCGAGACGACGATTCGGCAACGCTGTAGCGCGAACCAGTGTAGTGTCGTCGCTTTTCGGTGTATTCTCTTGTCTCTGTTCTATCGTAACACAAGAGCGAACTGTGTTACGATAATAAATATTCGGCTTTTTTATTCGATATTCCACCATTATTGTTTTTGCAAATTTGTATATACAGTAACTTTATTTTTTGGGCGGGTCGCGAAAAAAAATCACAATCATAAATGGGATCGCGAATAAAAAAAGTTTAAGAAGCCCCGCTTTAACCGGACAAAATTGTTTAAAATAAGTCGAGTTTCGTTACTCTTAACAGCCAGAACCCGTTAAATATTCGCCGTCATCAGAATTTCGACGTTATTCTTACCGAATTAAATCTTTTACTCGTTATTTTCTGCCGGCTTTTTCCAAAGCCTGGCTCGACTGCCCAGTTCCGGCCCGTAGCGTCCAGCGCGCGGCCGAAGGATGGTCGAATCGACGTCACCTTGGCGCCCGTGGAAGTTCGGGTACGGCCGTTGGAATCGACGTCGTTTCGTTACGCGCCGGCGTCGGGCCGAGAACTTAAATCCGGCTGCGGGTTGATAAGCAGCGGCCGGGGAGGGAACTTTGCCTCGGTAATTAGTAAATATTCGAACGTCTTCCGGACAAATTTCACTACCGAGGTAGACTAAAAAACACGGGTCAAAAGACATTCGAACTGGGTGTAAATAGTGGCGAATATCGAATAAAAAAGCCGAATATTTACTCCCTTAAATTAGTTAGTAGTTTAATCGTGGCGGGGTGGCGGACTTAACGAAAATTTAAACCCGGCACCTCGTCACTCCTCCTTCGGACTATACGTCGTTCAATTCTTTCTTTCGCGTAACGGTTAATAAGGAGTCGCCTAAGGAGGAGCCTGGTTCGTATAGGCTATTTATTCCCAGAGACGAGAATAGCCGGCCTTTAGATGGAATGGCCGAAATAATGCGGGAGTGCGGGAGAAATAATGCCTTCCGGGAGGTCTTTTAAGGGAAACTGGCCCCTATTCGGGCGTTACAGTTAATCGAAGCCGTCTATTCTCGGCGGCAAATGGCGCGGTCCGGAGTCCGAACCACCCGTAGAAATTTTACTTTCCGATTCGAGTCGTGGTTTCGGACCGGTGGTGCCATCTGTCGACGAATATTGTATAATAAGCCATCCCACCGACCGAAACGTTCGATTCTTTTTACCGGAAATCCCCCCGGATACCGAAGCCGCGGACGAAGTCAAACGCCGGACCAACAAACGTTTTTCATTTTTTGGACGTAAATCGAGCGGACCACCGTAAAAAAAGATTAAAACCACGGGTTAAGAATACGACCGCATCCTCCAAGCTTCTCCTCCCGCTAATCGGCTCTTACTCTAATCTGCTAGAAAGTCTGGTACTGTACTATACGTATCTCTGGACGCCACGTTCCCCCCGGTCAACGTCCGCTTAATAGGCGCGTATCTATCCGAAAAAGCCATCACCTCTGCGAAAATAATCGACAAATTTGGTAATTGTTAAAATTTTACCGGTGGGCAAATATTTCCCGGCAAAAGGCCAATCCGGCGCCTTTATCGGCTGTGCATTAAATAAATTTAATATAGAGCTAGACAAAATTTTACCCCGGACAAACTATACTATTGCATCGGCAATTTACTACTCCTTCTCGTCCTTTCTGACTCCTTCCAACGTATTTATACGTACAAATATTTTAACGGTCTTCTTCCCACTCCTTATCCTTTTATCCACATTCCTACCTTTAACAGTAGATTAACTCGTATCCGTACTCCCTACCGCCGCCCCCGCGTAGCCATCCCATACTTTTTCTATCCGAGACAAATTGTTCCTTAACTTCTATAAATTCCAAGCCATTTGTAAGAGGATGCTCCGAGTAATTTTTCATTTCTTTTCTTTATTGTTTCGTTACTGCGGCGTTTTTTTCTCCTTTTACTTTTACCGCGTATTTTCAATTTATCGGGATTGTCGTAACGGGGGTGGCAACTATCGTCCGCCAGACGTGGCCAAATTCCCCGTAATAAAACGAAACAAATAGTTTATTTTTTTCCCGTTTTTCGTCCGCGCCACACGAAGGAAATTCGGTACGAAATGCGGCGATCGAGGGACCACGCTTTTCAGCCGCGCACTCTACGCTCGGAAATCGACCAAATATTTTTGGTAGCGTATAAAACGCCATCCTTTCCGAGCTTTTCGCGCGTGTGGCGGGTCGGCGGGCGGACGAATGTTTAATGGAAAGAAAACGAAGGGAGCGCGCTCCCTTCGGAGGTACGAGACGAAGGATTAACGCCGTGTCGGGAAGCGTGCGAAAAGCGGATGTCGGAGCGGAGTTTGAATTGGTTTCCGCTTTGTTTTACAGAGGAACCATCTCTGCAGAGCGACGGTGAAGAGTTCGTCGCCCGTGCGCATCGTGGACGACAGGAACTGCTCTAGCGTCAAACTGTACGAACCGAAATTCTGCGGCCGCTGTCGCGGACGGCGCTGCTGTCGACCGCGACTGTCGACCACGGTGGAGATGACGTTCGACTGCTCGTCGTCGGACCGAGAAGAAGGATCGCCGCTGCGCCTGGCCAGGGATTACATGTGGATCGTCAAGTGCGTCTGCGACGACCGTTGCTAACGCCCACGCATATCGGCTTTTAACAACCACAAATTCATAGTTTTTTAGGCGGCGCGGCCGCCCAGTATACGACGGTGGCCGGTCGTCCGGAATTCGTCTTTAGAACTCGTGTCGGCCCCCACGCCTTCCGCCCGCCCCGTCCCGGACGGCTCTCCCCCTCTTAGATCCCATCTCCCCAACACTTACGACGGTCTGTTCACCAAATACGTACGTTCCGGCACCGCGCTCCCGACAACCTTAGACTCGCACCGATCCTTGTAATGAACGAATTAAATATTTTGTCACGTTTACCTTCGTTCCTCTTCCTTACCTCTTCTCGCCGGTCCGAATCCCCTCGTTTCTTACTCGCCTCCCCAAACTTTCGCAATTGCATTCTTTTGCAATTCCGAAACGTCCGCCACGCGCCGACTCCAGGCGTTTGGGTAGGGCGGTGTTTTCCACCGTCTTCGCGGCCCGTAAAAGAAGACGCGAAACGGCAAGGCGAAGGAAGCCTCCATTTTTTTTTTTTTGTTTTCGTTTTTAAGACGCGCGTGACGTAGATAACGAAGGCGGACAAAGACCGCGCGGATTCCGGTTTCGGCACCGCCTCTTTAAATTCACGCGGAATATAAGAGAGAATGTTTTTTAGGTCGAACGCCACGCGCCTTCGTATACACCCGGAAGAAGGTCGAACGCCATTTTTCCACTTCCGGTAGGCGAAAAGACCGCGCGTCCGTGGGACGACGTCGAACCGATACTTATAGAAACGCCGACGGGCTACCGATACGTTAATTTCCGCTGAAAATAGTTTGGCATCCACCCGTTTTGCACTTCCGGTTGTTATATACGACGAAAGAAAAATATGGCCGCAAAAAGAGACTTTTACATTTTGCGAGACTCGGGCAATCTCGAAACGTAGAGAAATGAAAAAAAACACTCGAGTTTTTTTTCTGTATGTATAAAAGTAGATACTTTTTTCGGCTATATTTTTGATAGTTCTTGCAAAGTTTTATCGTAACTTTCATCCAGAAATTCCTTTAGTGTGTGATGTCTGGTGTGCGTGCGTGTGTGCGTGAGGTAGTGGCACGATTTTTCGTCCGCTTTGAAGCGTAAAATTCCGTGTCCTCTGTCGAAATTTTCTTATTTTGGAGGCAGGTTTGTCTACCGGGGCGACGATGCTATTCAATTTTGCCGGTCGAAGGTGGATTAAGTGGGGAGGTAGAAGGGAGTCGCGCGTCCTATGTGGAGTGGGATAATGAAAATGTTACTACCATTTACAATTTTTTATACAACTCGCCTCTACTCCCAAACTAACCTTTTTCCCATTTTATAATAAATAATAATATAAAAAGTTTTCGATAAAATACGGTAACGGATGGCGCCGTCGCAATTTAAATTTCTTGCCGGAAAAGTTAAGTAACTGGTGGCTGGATTTTCTAATAACGAAACCGGCCTCGATCTTCGCACGATTTTGCAAACTTGTCTGGAATCCAAAAAGTGGAAAACCTCTGTCTTAATTAAGACACGAAATCTTACTCTCTCGTTCCTCCCGCTGGACAATTTCCAAGCGTCGTTTTCGGACTAAGAACTTAAAAATTCGTTTACTGCTAAAGTTTGCTAACGATACTCCCAGCGGTTAAGGCGTCAACCTACCGCTCCGGGGTCCCGTCGTCAAATTCGGCGGTGGAAACCCCCGAAACCCCGGAAAGGTCGCGTGTACCCGATATTTCGGATCCGCTTCCGGTCACCCGGTCGTTCTATTCGGAGTGGCCGAACCTACTTTAAAAGGGCCGACAAAATTTTCGGCCCTTTTATTGCCCGTGGAGCGGAGAGTCCAAAAAATCAGCAATAACACGAAAGCTAAATAACTTTCCGTGAAAGCGGAGGGAGAGGAGTAAAACTGCAATTTCTTTACCGATAGTCGCTAATTATTCTTACAGTACAGTACGTTAGTGCCTAACGTACTGTACTGTACAAGTAGAAAGAACGTTTCCGTCGTCCGTTTCTGCGTATCGGCGATAAGCCTCTGACCTAGTTCCGCTGGCGGATACACTGCGACGGAAAACAGAAAAAGAAAACGAAAAGAAATCGTTTATACATCCATTTCGATTTTATAAAAAAAAAATACAGAAATTCGAACGACCCGTATTAATGGTATGGCAGGAACGACGTCAGAATTGCGAGACGAATGATCGTACGACGATAGCAAATGGTTGCAATCGGATTCCCGTACGTGTTTTCTGTTTCTACTTGTTTTATTTTTCTTTTTTTTTTCGTGCAATAAACTTTGTATCCGCGCTGGTATTTTTATGCCGAGCTTAATTTTTTTTCTAAAGAAAAGGAATTAGGAAAAGCTCGGCATGTAACACTCCGGACAGTTAAATATCTACGGATATTTAAAGACATTTTAATGTACAGTACAGTACAAATACGTTTACCTTTACCCTAAAAATATTCATTCGAAATGCCGAAGTTACCGAGTTATTTAAGAAAATTAACCAGTAAACCCAACGTCGCAATGTACTGTACAATACATTGTTGTACGACGTCGTCGAGGTAGAATTCTACAATCCGAAAGATAATTCGTTTACTAAGCGGTGTTGCGTGCATATCCCGAAACGATTTAATTCCATCGATATTTTCGAACGGAAGAAAATCGGAAATTCCGGAAAGACTAAATAAATATTTTTTTAGTCCGGGGCTTAACTTTAAATCTCTTTCCGCCACTAATGGAAAGAGAAATCGGCATTAAGAATAATAATTCCTTTTCTATTTGGTTACTTTTTATAAATAAGCGTAGGCTTCGAATCGAATCCGTTTCGCTTATTTTTTCGCGCGTTTCTCGCTTCTTCGTCACGAGCCAAAATGAGGTATTTCGCGCGAGAAACTGTTTTTTTTCTTTTTCTGCCACTTCTCGTAGCGTTTAACGTCTTTTTTGATTCTGTTTGTGTTCGGAAGTTTCTACACGCCGTTAGTAGTTAATTTTGTGGAAAATGACACGCACCGCAGACTACTATTAAAACTTTCGTTAAAGATACGAGATTTGTATTTTCGAAATCAAATATTAATTTATGGGGGCGTTGTTTAGTAAAGCGCCTTTATCCAGCCGCATAAACGAGCCAATGACGTAACGGTTTGGTTGGAAACGGGCTCGTTTACGCAGCCGTATTTTATTAGACACGGCGCCCCGTAAATTTCGAATAGAAACTAGATTATGTTCGAACGGAATAAGAGTGGGATGTATTCTTTAGTCGTAATTAAGTTAAAACATGGTCACGCAAAATTGTTTAATACCCCGTTTTCCCGCAGTCTACGATATTAATGATCCGTATCAAATTTGGAAGAGTCGAGTGCCTATAAATTAGAAAAAGTCGACGTTTTACCTTAAACGAGAAAAGATACTTTCAGACAGCTCGTCGAATTAATGGCAAGATCATACAAAAATGTACGCATTCGTTCTTGGAGAAAAGCGGTTAACATCGGACGCGTAATGGAACTACCGTAGAATGCGCGGAACTCGGGCTTTATTAGCTGTAACGAAATCGAACATAAAAAAATATGAAAATTATCAAAATTTATCAGAATATCTGACTTTTCTTTCAAACACCCGAAAAGTTTCTATTTAATTTTGTTAAAATAGATTAAATTTCAAAGAAATGTCTTTATAATACGATTATATAGGCTATCTATTTACAATACGAGTATCGGATCGAAATGAAAACGCACCCCTCAATATCTGAACGAATGCTTTCCGCGCCGTCCTCGTCGATACTATTTTTTCCCATATAAAATCGATCGACATGGCGGAACACGTTTGCCAACCTTCCCAGGATTTTTTTATCAATTGTCTCCCCAATGCCATTACTTTAGTCCGGGAGGTCTTCTTATAGCGACTGCATTATTTTTCCTCCTCGATAACTTATCGCGAATAACACGTACGAGTCTTAAACGATTTTAAAAAACAATCTAAGCGCAAATATAATACTCGTATTTTGTCGAGAAAATCGCGCGTAATGTTATATTAGCGACGCGCGGAAAACGGATGAAATTTAAAAGAATTTAAGAAAAATAGTCAAACGATTTTTTGGGGGTTAAAACCTTTTTTTATATAAACTTCGACATAAATTGGGGAAGTGAGAATCCAGACGAGTATACCGTTTTCGGTTTGGGATGGACGAAATAAGCGGCTTAACCGCGCTGGCACGCAACGAGAAGATGGACTCCGGCAAATTAATCTACGGGAATGGCCACAATTTGGCCCCGGTCGACGAGATTAGGGAATGCGCGGTAATTACTTCCTTAATAACAAAGATTAATATCGTTTACGCAATAATACTTCCAATGGTGTTGTTCGGGTAAAACTTCGGATGCCAGAAAAGCCAGAGTAAACGGATCGATGGCTTCGAATTCGGATCTATAAGAACGATTGCGTGGGAATTAGCCTAAATGAAAATCGACTTAAAGCAACGATTTGGACAAAAATATAGACCCGTATTAAATACGAAGCATGGAGGAATTCGAGGAAATAGAAATGACGGAAGGTAAATTTTTCCCGCAAAGATCCGCGTACGGTTCAAATATCTAAACGATTTCATCATTTACGAAACGGTTCGGAATCGGAATAGGTATTGTACCCGTACATATTTGACTCGAATGCTTTACTCTATATATTTAATATCGCCTTTTGTTAATTTATTAATATTACTACTACCGCTGCTAGAAAATAATATTTCGTCGCCTTTAAAAACATTAAGATAAAATAGTTTTTCTAATTTTTATTTTTTATTTTGAAAATGAACATGTTCGAAAACCTTAAACTAGGCGAACATAAAAAATATATTTGATTTTTATCCGCGGGGTTCTCGTTGGCGGGGAGGCAATTTCTTTTTCTTCCAAACATTACCTTTTGTAAATTAAATGTTTTTTAGAAACGTTCCGAATTTTTAATTTTTTACAAATACACATTATTCGGAATATTCGGAAAATCGAAAAGAAAACGGAGATGGAAAGATAATTTTAATTACCAAAATTCTATAATGGCGGAGATAAAAAAAACCAGAGAAACGTACCGGGCTACAAATTGAAGAAAATGAGGACAAAAAGTGAGAAGAACAAATATAGATACGCGCGTGAAAAATATATCGATGAAAATATAATTATACGCTCACTTGTCGGTTCTATTTTCGTAATTATTCCGACGCGTAAGACAATTCGAAGAAATCGATCGTGTCGGACGACTGTCGTTTTTCGTAACGAAATCAATTTATTGGCAATTAAAATATATCGCTAATTAAATTCAAATTTTAAAAAATGTTTTAACGAAGTTTAAGAATTTTCCAAGAATTCCATTTTTCTACAACCTTTTTTGCTTTATTTTACATAATTCGTAGTAATTTTACGTAGCCACGCCGATAGACGACTACCCGCTGCTGGGAATTTGAAGAAGCGCCGAAAGACGTCGCAATGGTAATTCGAATATAATTAAAATTTGAATCGTTAGCATTAATTATTAAAGGCGCTTCGAATACCGGTATAAAATAAATATAGTATTTTATATAACTTAAAGCTTAAAAGAGTTAACGCGTAGCTTGTCTGGGGCGCCAAAATTTTTTTGCTGCGGCCTTGCCCAGAAGTAGAGTAAAACGAAATAAAAAAAAGTGTAAGATTGTTATTAAATACAATTACAAATAACCTTATTAATAATCCGCTCTAATTTATAAAACTTTTAATAAGAGCGTAGAAGCTAACCCAGTGTTTCTCAACATCTAACGAATCGTCGCCCCCTTCAACGTAGTATCGCCCCCTTCACTACAAAATTCCCATGCCGAGGGACAAGGCTAAAGCCTAATTCGTACTGCATCGAATAGACTAGTTACTAGTATAATGTTATTTGTTTAATTATTGTACTATATAACGAATAAAATATCTAATTATTCTTAATATAATGTTTTACTATATCGCCCCCAAAATATAAATTGTTACTAATCGCCCCGTCAACATGGAAAAACGCCCACATGAGGGCGATATCGCCCCCGTTGAGAAACACTGAGCTAACCGATTGCGTCGAAGAATAAGGATAAATGTAACTGGTACAAATAAAATTAAAGGACTAATTTGAAAGTTAAAAATACTTCTAAAAACGATGGGCAATTCGGCTAATTAAATGACAATAAAAAATAAATATTTTGTAAATTATAATAGAAAAGTTAAATTCATAAACAGTTTTTAAGTCAGAATAATTTAGTGAGTTTCCGAGGACAATTAATCGTCAACAATGGACGTTGGAGCGGAAAGTAAAGAAAAAGAAACGAAGAAAAGAAAGAAAATAGTACGACTGCTATTTACAGATTTGCGCGGCGTTTTGTACTTAAAATTAGAAGAAAAATGGATTTTGGTTTTAAACGAAATCCAGCAACGAGTTGCGTAACTTTTCCGGTTAACAAATTTAAAATTAATATGTGGCGCCATCTGTTGCGAGATTTTATTTAAACACTTTTTATATCATTAATTATAAAATGGCAAAAAGTTGAATCGGAAGGTAGAGACGAGTTCTAAAAAGTTTTAAATTCTAATAAATAGTAAATTCTTCATTAAGTCCAATCTCTCTCGAGATGTGATATATAAGGAGGCCTCAAAACGTGAAGATTGAAAAAACCCGGAGTATCAACTTTAATACAATTGCAATACTTTCCCTCGTAAAGTATACATACACTTTTTGAAAATGTGTGTATATTTTCAAGTACGGTACAGTATGCCCAAAATAAACAGTACCGAAATGAAAAGACCAACAATATTGCCTCGTTGTCATCTCAGTTTATCTCTCCAGAAAGAAACTAACATACACTCTATTAGCGTGTTGATTTGCCACGGTATGCGTAATGTACTGTACAGTACAGTAAGTATTCCAAGTGTTCGTATCGTTCGCGCAGATTCTCAAACATATCCCGAAACAAGGGTCGCTGTCGACTCCTGTAAAAGGAGACGATTTGCTCGCGTAATGCACGATACAACTTCCTTTTCACTACCGGAAACACGTAAAGCTGGAACTATGCCTTGTCCACAGACATGTATGTATGTATATATATATATATATATATATACATACTTCTTAATATAGGCCTATATATATATACATAATTCTTATATATGTATATATATATAAGAATTAAGAGTTATGTAAAAAGTGTTGGCACGCTGGCTTATAATGAAAAATTTTTTATAGAGTAGACATTCCATCGGACCCACGCTACCAGCTATTCGATAAAAGAAAGATCTATGCGACGACAAACGGAAATGAGGGGTATGTATAAGCTACACGTAGTGTTACGAATGTTTCTTCCGGGGATTCTTAAATTCAGTCAAAGTTGTGGAATTAGACCGTCAAAATATTTTATCAAAAAGTGGGGTGTGGCTGTGTCCGGGACACGGCCGTGTGTTTTACGTGAATACGTGTACGTTAACGGGTAATATTTTCGTATTATACGTATGTCATAATCATTTCTTAACAGTAAGAAGTCCTTCGGATCTCCATGATTTTTTACGTTCCCGGCACCGCTTCTATCATATGGTGTTTTATGGGTATCACTGAATTGCTCTCGAGAAGCCCTTTCCAACCGTATACGATTTCTATATTTTGATTTGGCTTTTCGACGAGTATAGGCCGACATTGTGTTAAGTTTTCTTAATTTTTAACTTAAACACCATATATATTCGCCATAACTATTCCACACTAATGTTTTGTGTACGCAATCGATAAATATTGACGAGAGCTGTAAATTGAAAACTGAAACAAGCGTCGTAGCTTCTCCGAGCCAAATATATACTAAACGGAAAGTATGCGTCGCGGCGCTTCCCCCTCCGCCGCGCGCGATGCGTTACAGTCTCCACTCAACGTAATGAATTCTTCGATCCTTTAACTATCCAGTGGTGTAGTTAAATTTTGGATGTAGATCAGTGTTTCTCAACGGGGGCGATATCGCCCCCGTGTGAGCTTTTTTTTCCACGTTGAGGGGGCGATTAGTAACAATTTATATTTTGGGAGGCGAAAAACAATTTTCTGGGCGATATAGTAAAACATTATATTAAAAATAATTAGATATTTTATTCGTTATATCGTATAATAATTAAACAAATAACATTATACTAGTCACTAGTCTATTCGATGCGGTACGAATTTGGCGTTAGCCTTGTCCCTCGTGTAAGGTTTGCCGACGTTGAGGGGGAAAAAGTCTATCTCACGTCAGAATGAGCCTAAGGGAAACCGCGTATGTGGGCGGTGGCGAGGGAGGCAAATGATGCACAAGTGTTTTACAAGATAAAACCCGTTTATTTGTTCGAATTCATGCTTACATCGATAATGGACAATTCCAAAATCTCCTGGGAACGGCGAAAGTTCGTGATCTCGGTTGCAGTTCGGGCGGACGAGAAGGATATCCGGACGAAGTAGAAGTTCGTTGCGGCGTCCTCGGTGATCGGCGGATGCACAGCACAAATTTAATCACCACTGTAGGGTTAATCCGGAGGAGACTCTTCTTCGACCTTGAAGTTCCGATTTTTATAGTTTTTCCCCCACTGTTCGCCTTTCGGATTGGTCCCTCGTCCCTTTTCTCGCTTCCCGATTGGTTTCTCCTTTGTCTCCAGGTGCAAGACGAAACTTTTTCGGGTCGCGGGAAAGGTCCGATTCGAGGTGTCCATCTGATACCTCTTTGTCGACTCTGTTCGAGGACTGTTTATAAAATAATAACACCTGCACTCATAACTCAGGCCGTTATTTACCATTTTTGACGTCTAAGAATTTAACGATCATTTTCACCTTTCACCTATCAAAAATTCCTCTATTTTTTTGTTCGAAAAGGTTTATTTCGGCCAACATTTTATAGACACGCGAGTCAAAGATCTACCTGTTTATGAGCGCTCGGGTTAGAGTTTGTCTTCCGCTAAGACATTAACAGATAGTTGACACATACTCGAACCGTTCCGAGTCTCGTTGTTTACATCTCGTGTCGCGCAAGAATTTCACGGTTTACTCGAGTTTGAACCTCGTCTGGGAACCCACACTCGGCATCTGAATTTTGTAGTGAAGGGGGCAATACTACGTAACGGTCTTATTGAAGGGGGCGATATGTTGAAGGGGGCGACGATTCGTTAGAGGTTGAGAAACACTGATGTAGATGATAGATGTGTAGATGCAATGCCAAACTGTATCCCCCGATTTTATCATCATCAGTTTTCTGAATTGCTTCCCACTATGGAAGCAAATTTAAAGACGTATTTACGTCAAGATTTCGATCGAAAAATTTAATTCTCTCGAAGAAATCCGAAAGTCCTAGTCTTACTCTAGCCACGTTTGGGTTACTGGTTTGCGGTAGACTACTAAACTTATGTAGAAGTAGGTAAAGTTTATAGAGTTTTCTCAATATTTTAGCAAATAAAGAGGGCATCCGTGGATCAAGTAAGAAGACTCCACCAGGGGTTGAAAATTGGCAGAAAAATATTGACCGTAAAACAGGTTTAGAGGCCGTCGTTACGGCTTTGCAAGAACGCCATAATGACGATCAATAATTTTACTGTCTTGTCTATATGGCTTTATAAAGTTAATTTAGTGTCGAAAATAATTCCCAGGTCGTTGCGTGTTGACATATTGCGATACGCGCGTATTTATAAAATGCGTAGTAGGGGTAAATTCTCGAATAAAAGAAAAGCAAATTATTACAGATTTTTGTAGGTTAATTCTAAGGTTAATTTTACTAATGACAGAGTAAGAGGCGAAGATCGAATTAGAGAGCATCGGATCGCGATTTAACACTTTATATCGTCTGCGTAGACGATAACGGAAGAATTTAAATTAATAAACAATTTGTTGATATACGCGGAAAAGAAAAGGCCACTTAGAATCGCTCCCCGTTGAAGGTGAAAAATCGAGAAAAATAAAATTTCCTACTTTGATCTCGTACAAAAAGTAGTTGTTCTGCCAGAAGTGAAGAGCCGGCTGGATATCGAAATAGTCACGGAGCGTATCTAAAAGTATATTTGAAAGGCTTGACTTACGTTCATGTAAGCTGCGTACGGAGAATGTTTTTTTTCCAAAATTATTCAGGATTGTAGACATTGTATCGAGTAAGTAGTAGTAGTTGATCGATTACGCTAGTCAGCAACGTTGAACAGGTAAAAGTTTTGAAGTTTTCGAAATAAATTTTCTTGAAGAGACATATTTCGAAAATTCTAAGCATCGAGACAGATAAAGAAATGGGTCGGAAAGACTTTTTCTATCGTTTTGGTATAGGCATAATAATAAAAGAATACTATTTTTTCGGAACATGACTATATAGGAGTACTTTAGGAAATATTCTTCATAAAATTACCGCGGTAATTAGTTTTAGTTTTATATAAAATTAAGGGAATGGAGTCAGGACCGAAATTGGAGGGCTTCGACTTTCTTGGCATTCTTTACATCCGGAAAAAACTGTATTAATTAATAGGTAAAGTTGTGCGGCATAAGGGGAAAATAATCTATCTCGGTTATAATTTGGAAAAATTTCGCTTTAATAGATTTATAAGTATCGAATGTCGTGCCATCCGAAAGGAAGTTGATTTATTTTGAGTTCTTTTAGAAAATTTTGGGATGAATCTCCGAAACGTACGGAGACCGGAAGCGAAATTAAATGTGTTAAAATAGTTTCGAATTGATGCATTGCATTCTTTGTATGATACGATGAATATAGAGATGGCGTGGATTTCCACCGCGTTTCAACCCGGTCCAATTCTTTCTAGTAATATTTATTTTTATTATTAATGGT